AGTTGTACTGTTTAACTTGATCGATGCTGGGAGACGAGTGCCTCGAGTCCTGCATCGACGGAAGACCATCTAGTAGCTGACCAAAGACCCCGAAGGGGGCCCACTTTGAGTGCAGGCAGCACGTGGCCATATTCTCTGTAGGGCAATGAGTGAAGGGGTTGTCGGTGATGTCCAGCTTCCTGCGGATTGGCATAGAGTTGCAGCGCCGTAGCAACAGACTCCTGGCGTTGCTTGTCCAGCTCAGATGGAGACTGCGATAGGTGAGCCGAGCTGGGTCCTGGCTCTTCTTGTCTTCTTCGCTTGTTAGACCAAGTCTCCGAGTTGGGTGCTGCAGGCCAAGCCGCCGTTGGAGGAGAGTATGGGTCCAGATCGATGACCTCGCTACCTGAAGAGCTCGGCCGAAGCTGCCACATATTTTGCGAAGCAGCTTAGACTGGCACTAGGACGCCGAGAGAAAAGGCTGCATCATGTGAAGGCACGGCTTGCCTGGAGGCCTTTCTCTAGAAGTGCAAGTGTAGACCTGTTTTCACCTCTTCGGCCGCGTTGCTGGGCTGGTATGTGCAGTGAAGTCGGCTCTCCGAGCCAACCTTACAAAGCCTGAAGGGCAGGAAAACAATGCTGTGCAAGCAGTGCAGCTTTCAGCCGTCCTGCACCATTGACTGGGAGCCAGCCTCGGCCGCCGAGCTCTGCGCTGTCGAGGAGGATTCATTGCGAGCAGTCGCAAGGAGCTCCTCGGAGACCTCCCGCAGAATGTCCGAGGTGACCCGAAAAAAGGCTGCCAGAGTGCTCTGTGTTTGTGGAGGCATCGATTGCTCCATATCCTGGGCAAAACTGACGGCCGCGCTGAGACTGGCAGCAGCGTTGCGAATAGCGCTCTGTACCGGAGTCGAGAAGACAGCAGTGACCCCACGTGAAGAAGCTTCTTGACTGTGAAGGTCACCGCTGTCCGGGATCCTCTGAGGGGGTGCTTCCTGGCCAGCTCCCCAAATGCCCGGAAGACGGGCTGCATTGACCGTGGTCGGAGCAGATGGCGCCGACTCTCCTGGTGGGTGGGCCAAGCCCCCGTCCACAGGCATGTCTGTAGTCCAAGACTCCGGGGGATCAGAGGGAGCGGGGGGGGGGAGGGGGAGGATTGGACAGCACGAGGTAGCCATCTTGGTTGGAGTAGGCCTGCCAGGGAAAGATCTCCTGGTAAATGGTGCGGGCAAAGCCGCTGCAGGTTCGCAGCTGACACTTCAGAAAGAATCTCGCCGAGATGGCCGATTTCTCCCAGCTGCCCGTGCCCTGCGCGCCTTCACTTGCCACTCCCTCTGGTACCAGGGTGCCGTTGGAGTTGCCAAACTTGGAGGCTGGTGTGTTGAAGGTCGCCGTGTCATATTTGACCTCGCCATTGGCCTTCCAAAGTGAGGCATGCAGAATGACTGAAGGGGAGATCGCAGAGTCTTGCCAAGACCCCGGAGGAAGCGGTGTCGTGGGGCCAGGTGGACGAGGCCATTGGTCTCTTGCCAACCATGTGCGAAGCTCCTTGTCCAGGTGTGAGGGCAGGGAGGAGTCCTTGTCCGAGTGTTTCCTCTTGGATGGCTCCGGGCCAATGTAGAGCTGCTTGAGGATGGTGCGAGCCAGACGATAGTAGTCCCCGTGTGCAGTCCGCATGGGCTCAGGGGGTGATTCTAGCGTGGGGGGACGATGAGTCACTCCACCATAGCCCGAGGCTCCGTAGCCGAGGTGTAGCGGGTAGACCGAGTCTCCGGTGCAGCCTGAGTAGTCGATAAGGACGAAGCAAGCCGGGTCCGCCCTGAGCATGATGTTGTCCGCATGAACGTCCGCATGTACAATGTGAGCTCGATGGAGCATCTCCAGGGCCGCGCTGATGTCATACTTGAGCCTGATGACTTCCATGGTCCGAAGGACACCTCGATGGACCGGCCAGAGCCTTGGCATTAGAGAGCGACGTCCGCTCGTAGCGAAGATTGTAGTATGACAGAGAGGGCGGGCACTCGTTTCAGTCGTGAAAATTCTCGCTGCCATTCGACTTCGTCTTGCTGACGCACGGTGCGGATGACATAGCGGGGGTCGGACTGGCAGGCATGGACCTCCGAGGAGTTGCCCTTGCCAATCGCCTGACCAGCCGCATTCCCGGCCATCAATGTCCTCAAAACCTCAGCCGGTGGAGATTGAAGCTGAGCCGCGGTAGGCATGCTGGGGTCGTCCAGCAAGGTCTTTGCCATCTCGTCCAGGACTGCACGAGCCTCCTTAGCCGGGTCCAGAACCGTCCAGGCGGCCATGGCGTCTATGCTGCTGCGGACTGGCCGGGAGAAAATAGCAGACAAGGAAGAGCCTAGACTAAAGCGCCGGAGTCAGCTATCTGTGCATTTCCTCGGTGCTGCAGTCTGTGGTAACTGTAAAGGCCTCGCATGCAGGCACTCAACGAAAGGAAGCCGTGGCCAGAGGCCCCGGAAAATGGCACTACAGAGGCACAGAGTGCACCCTGCGCAGTCCCGGGAGGGCACTACAGAGTCGCAGCAGAGTGCCCCCTGCTCCGTCCTGGGGGTCCTTCTTCTTCCATACAAGTTCAATCTTGTTGAACTTGGTCCGAGGCTTCGTCGATGGCATGGGCGACTTGGTCTGCTTGGGAGGCGAGCCACTGTCGCTGCGAGACGATTTCGGCTTCGGGGGCGTAGGAGGGCGGACACGCCCAGAGGCAAGAAGCGCACTGCCCTGGACCTTGTCCTGCTCTTGGTGGAGAGCGTCAGCTTGCGTGCAAGATGACGAGCCGTGTCCGCGATCGCAAGCATCTTGCCATAGTTTAGCGTAGTATTCCAGGCTATGCGGGAGCACGGGCATGGCTATCTGACTGGCGCTATCCTGTTCCGTGTCCAATCAGCGATCTGTAGAGCCAACAAAGATCACACTCGTACAAGCAGAGCGAGCTGTCTGTGCAGGCAGATACAGGATTTTGGGGCATGGCAGGAACTGTTTGTGCAAGAATCCCACCTCAAAATGCTGTACAGACGGGCCAAGCCTCCGAGGGTGAAGCTAAATGGCCCAAGGCCCCGTGTGAGTGCTACAGCAGCTAACGATCCGAGGGTTTGCCTCGTGCCTTGCGAACCAGGGCACCAGGAGCTCGCTTTCCAAGCCTTTCGCCATCACAGCAGTCGAGAAGGCCGGAGATGAACTCGGACTGCCGGGCCAAGACCGTGTTCAAAACTGGTCGGAAGTCCAGGATGACGTGCTCCTTTTTGGCACCCAAGCGAGCAGAGCAGTATGAGACCATGTGCACCAGACTTTCATGTAGATCCGGGCCAAGTTCTTTTACGACCTTTTGCAAGTACTTGTTGTCAGCGCTGCAGAAATTCTTGGGGGGGTCATCGATCTTGGAAAGTTCCTTGAGAAGCGAGGCAGCCGTGTAGTGAGAGCACGACCCCCACGGGTGTGAGGTGCCGGCCTTGTGTTCAGCCTGCCATTCGCGCACTGCCTTCATGAGACTGCGTGCTATGGGCGCGTCCTCCGGGAACTTGAAGACGATGGAGACCTGGTGCTGTAGCATCGCCAACTGTTCTTCATGGAGCAGGAATCCTTGAGTGAGCTCTTCAGGACTCAGAGCTGTGATCCTGCGAGTTGGGGCCGCCCGAGGCGCCGGGTGACGTTCGCCGCCACCACCGCCTCCTCGGCCCGAGGCCCTGCGCATATTTGGAATCGTCAGCTGCTGCCGTTCTGCCATATCCTCGTCGGCAGTCACAGGGGAACGTCCTCCTCTATGGCGTTTGGCTTCCGGGCTATTGGGACCTTT